AAACTTAAAACTTTGACTTTTAAATAGGTAACTCTGATTTTTTTAAAAAAAATCATAGAAGATAAGTTTTAATAAAAATGCGTAACATAAAAACAAAAAAAGATGATATGTGATATTTAAAAAAAAAGTTTTAAGATGCATAACGTTTTATTAAATATTTTCATAGTTTTCAAAACCAATTAACCAATCACTTCCTAATACAATTAAAAAAAAGTTGTGTTAGAACAAAATAACTCTCCTAACCAAGATTTTCGAAAGAAAACTTACTCCACCATAAATTGTAAATCTAGAGAAAATAACCATTTTACCAATGAATCAATGTGAAAGGTAAATATCACAGCAAATTGACAAATAAAGTGAGATACAAATACAATCAAACATCAATTATTCTCTCTTTATGATTCAAAATTCTAATGAAATAAACAGAAAAATATATTCCAACATTTCTGTTGAGGATATGCAGATGTCTTTATAGATGCAAAATATACTATAACATGTCTGATCAATAGATTTTTACAATCATTTTTTAGGAAACCGTAGTGAATATAAATAAATACATACAAGTTAAGGATTTGTGTCAACAAAGATGTTTTCTTATGTTTAACAGTCTTTTCTCTTTTTTTGCCTATAGCATTGTATTTGTAGAATAATTTGGTGCAAATGTTTAGTTTTCTAACTTAGATAATTATTTACTATAAACACTAAATTTATATGATATTAAATACACAAATAATCAATACATTATAAATTATTGCATATTTTACCATGTTAATTTTATATCCCACACTAATAAAGAATAAAATAAAGAAGAGGGAAAGATGCATGCATGTTCACGTTTTGTGTAATTATTTCATTTTGTAAAAGGGATAACACACTCATAGAATAGAATCGAGGGAAACCAATAGTATTCATATTAATTTTAAAATATATAAGCATTCTCATGTTTTTTTTTTTTTAAAATTATGTGAGTTTCGAACTTTTCGCTCATAATCTTCTCGCTATCCGGAGACAGTTTTTGGATATTCCGATTTAAAAAATAACTCTTTGTCATCGTCCCAAATAAAGTTTGAATTCGGAACACAAACAAATCAACCCCTTGTGTTACCACTAGGCCACCATCTCCTTTAGACATTCTCATGTTCTTGCGAGTAGCTGTAAATTTAATGTAAACCGACAGTTTGTTTTTCCG